TTCCATCTTCAATGGAAGGCAGTGTCGAGACATCATCTAGCAAGGGATAATCAGTGGTTGCTAAGCGGCGTTTAGGGCAGCAGACAACTGCTCAACTCCATCATCTCCATTCCTTTCGTACCACATTTCTAGCTCTTGACCATGTTGGTCATCATGACAGTACATTATCCTGTCTACAGAAGCAGTCACCTTTTGCTGGTATGACTTTATTAGAGCATTTTGAATCATAACTGATTTACCTAATTCTGGTTTAAAAGTTTCTGCTGTTTCACCCCAAAGAGTTGCTTGTATTTTAAAACCTGTGTTGTCTGCTATAGTTAACTCTCTTTTAATAGCAACTGATCCACTTTGCAGTGTAATATGTGAGATACTTTCATCATAATCAATTATTAAGAGCGTATGCCTGTAATGGTCAAGAATAAAAAATCAGTGGCGAAAATTCGAATTTTTTTTTATTTCGCCTAAACATCCCTTTGGGTGAACTAGTTTAGGGAAAAATATAAAAAAATTCCAGCGATTTTTTTTTCAGCCGTATTTTAGAAAAGTTTGAAAATTATGCTAATTAGCTGTTTTCGCCTTGCAAAACGGCCGAATCATCACGCAACTTTAGGAAGATGGTGAAAGCGTAAAACATTCCCAATGGACGTCAAACTTTGCACACGTATTAGAATATCACTGCACAATATATCCACATAAAAAGGTTTTCGAAATTGTACTTGAAATCGTTTTTATTGACCTTTTTATACAGGTGTATTTTGAATGGTTTTGCGAGGGGCAAATTGAAGGCTAAGTTTGAGCGGCACAAATGACTTCTGGTACATAACAAATTAAAATAAAAACAACATCAGAGTAAACCTTATTTATTAAATTTATCACCTGAAAAATTTGGACGTTGGAAATTAAGTATAATCCCGTCAGTAAAATAAACCGTCATACCATGTTAGCGATTCGAATGTCACGCTAATTACGCTAATTGCGGAGTCCTTTCTAGAAATATATTTTTTTAAAGAAAAATAAGTATGAAATAACGAGTCGGTACTAGCTGCAACTCTTCTTTGATGCTTTAAAATTATAGTACAGCATTTATATGTAATTTTCTCAGTGTAGCATTGAGTCTTGTATCTCGAAGTCGGCTATTTAACTAAGCCGGAATACTACGAAAGGTCACGAAATCAAATTAAATCAACCCTCGTATGTCGCGCTTTATCAAAAAGCCAAACCTGCCCCAAATGCGTGGCGAATTATTTCTAAATAGTTAAAAGCTCGGCAATTGTGGAACTTTGGATTGTAAAGGAGCTTAAAGGACCGGATCCACCAATAAAGATCAGTATATAGAACTCTAAAGAATAAATACCTTCAACTGTGAAATACAAATATGGAAGTTATCAAATTACTGCTTGTGTTTTGAATAAATTACCACCTACAATTACCCACGGTTTATCCTTGCACTCAACAAATTCTCAAATAGTCTGTAAATGAAATGGGGGGAAAAAGCTTTCTGTAACTAAAACGAGCACAATTTATTTTGATCGTCAACAAACGAATTTAAAATAATTAATCATCCACGACTCACCCAGTCCCAAAGTGAGTCCGAGCTTATAAATACCTTCAAGTAACGCATCTTATAGTCACGCAATTTCAAAAACGTTTGATAAAGATTCTAATTCGGCTCTGGCTAGTTCCCTTCTAGTATATCGAGACACTCGACCATTGTTTACACATCCACGTGTTCAATTTGGAGCGTTTGAAGAATTTTGAAGCAAAATCTAACAGTCTACAAACGAGTATTCTACTAAGGGAGGCCCAGGGGAATATATGGCTGAGATTTAGAAGAGTCAGTACCTTAACCTGAACGAGAGGATATTACCAAGAATTAGCCCTAACAGTAACGGATAATTTTTTGTTGGTATGCATAAGGTCCAAATGGCTGAAAATTCCTCCACACGAAAACAAAAAACCTTTCTTCACACCTCTCCCCCCCCCCCCCCCCCCCACCCCCGCCATCCTCTGCGGCATGAATAGCGTGCGCAGAAAGGATGCGCACAAAAAATTAGCGCGAACGTCCTTAAAACAATATTTCTAATTTATATTGGTTGGGCCACCTGAACCACCATAACATTTATGTATCTATCATGTCTATGTACTGATAGTATTTTCAGAAGTATTTTCCTACTGTTCGGCTAATGGGTCAGTCATGCAGGGAGCTGGCAGGTGCATTGACTAACAGCTTCCTTCAGTAAGGCAATGTAGGGCACTTTACGTCGAATTGGTTTTAAAGGCACATCTAATTCTAAGTTCTGGCAAATACACTGCAGCAGAGCCAGCTTCAGGTCATTCAATGTGTCATTCTTGACCATAGTACAGATATCGTACTGATTGTACACTATTGGATGCTGAAGTGTGATGGATTCGATGGCCAAATCCCTTGCAATGGTAAAGTTGACTTCTTCTTCACTAGCCTGGATATCAGGATCATTGGGAAGTTGCTGGCGAACCTTAGCAGCAAGGCGCGAGAAATAAGAGGTGATCTGCTGTGCCGTCAGAAACTCAGAAACTTTAAAAAGTCGAACACCATCGGTTCCTTGGGCACGTCTCATTTCTCTCGCTACTGCATCTCCATCTACTTTTCTACCAGTAGTTTGACCAATGTTGAATTTCACATCAAGGTATGCTTTTTGCTTTTCACTAAATCGGTACGCTTTCTTTGTTGACTTGAGCGCCCAGCCTTCCTCGTTATAACGATCACTTTCACCTACCATTGCCACAACTGGCTCGAGACTCGGTATACACCCCACACCCTCCTCTAAAGAGGACTTATATGCAATCTTAGCAAGGTCCATCAAAGACCGCTTCTCCAAAGACTTGGTGCATTTTTCTAAAGAGAGGTGTTTCTCTAAGGCAGAGAGCCTTTGAAAAACTCTAACACACCCGTCTTGAGGGCAGGGAAAAACTGCTGTTGTTGCTTCACCAGGACTCTCTTGGTCACCTTGCACTTCCGTGGCTGCAGGCTTCTCTGTCTTCCTTGTATTTGTGCCACGATTTGTGCGGAGAGATTTAAATGCTCCTGCAGAAAATGTTGACCCCATCCAGTTGTAAGTGCTCTCTGAAAATAGAACAATGACGTCATGGTCAACAAAGCATACAAGTACATTATATGGTGATTAGTACAGTACGTTCCTTCCCAGATGAAGATGTTCAGCACATTCCAGAAATAGAAAAAGGCATGCGTGTTAACATAGCATGATGCAAACACGAGATACAGCTTGGGAGAATTAGAAAGTTGGTGTAAACTCACAGTCTCGAGTGTTTGCACTTGGCTAGTGAAACAATATAATAAAGCAGTCGTTTTCTATTTCATTTATGTACTAAAGGCGAACACAATGCAACGATAAGTCATAACCGTGTTTACATAGCCTGATGCAAAACGACTACTCAGCCAATCAGAGCGTGTGGAAGAACCAAATGTGTATGCAAATTGATAAGAAATGGTTGGTTGAATGAATGAATGCAGGAACGAACGAACGAATGAATGAATGAATGAATGAATGAATGAATGAATGAATTAATTAATGAATGAATGAAGGATATATAGATTGATTAAATAATTAAACTGCAATTTACCACAAATATACAGCATTTACGTATATACACACACACTGTAGCTCATTTGCACTTACCGGAAGTTTGCTTCTCCAATGTAATGTTTTTCCCTTTCCCGATATCATAAGCACGCCAAGCTGTAATGCTTTCGGAGTTGAACTCAAAGTTGTGAAGTTTGCTGATACCGGGAATCTTTCTTGCATCATCAACCATGGAATCATCAATGGTGTCCACTGCAACGACTCTCACTCCTTCTATGCCTCCATGGGAAAGTAGAGCATCTTTGAATTGACTCCCTGTACATACGTCGTTGCCTTCGTTGATGTAGGCCCGCACGTGCGCTTTACATGTCGCTGCAAGTCTGTCGGCAGCACCCTTTCCACCCTGTGGGTCAGAAAAGTCAATTCGTGCTACCTGGATGCCAGTAGATTCTGCTATCACTGGGCATGCTAAGATCGTACCTGAGAAACCAAAGAAATATTTGCCTCTGTAATATAACTTGTGTATACCTTTTCCCTAAAATTAAATGTAAATATGCAATATAATGTAAGTAAATAGTTAACTGAAAGATGTTACTAGCGGTTATAGTGTATGCTAATTGCGAAGCTTGTAAGTATGTACATGTCACAGTGTCAATGTAAATTTAGTATAGTGCAATTCAATGTGAAACGTAATGTAATATGTAAGAGTGTTTGAAGTGTGCTTAATAAAGAATATTAAAAAAAAAAGATCGTACCTGATGAATGGTAACAGCCGGCGTTGTCTTGCCTGAAATATGCTTTGGTTATTTCCCTGTGTTCCTGCTTCAGAGTCTTCAGAACGTCCTGCATGATACACACGACTGCGGGACTCCCCTGGCTGCACGATTGAATAACATGGATGAAGCCTTGCCATTCGAGTACGCCATTTACGCGACGATATACAACAGAGATGTGCCAGGAGAGGCCACGCTTACCAAACCAGTCTGCTTGGGATTCCCTGTATCTCTGCGGTAGGAACTTCATCGCCCAGTCGTTGACGATCAAAACAGTATCCTCATCAAGTAGGTCTAAAGCATCAAAGCGCGCTTGGTCTTGATTGACTGACCTCAGTATATGGCACTTCCAGGACACAACAGCAAGTTTGGCTGACTTTATCAGGTACAAGGCTTCATCTTTGTCGTCTTCCGTTGGGAACATAGCTTGAGTGATAGCTTGTTCGATCTCCATCAGAGTATCATCAAGGCCTTGACATCTATCGCAAATATCCTTATGGCTGTGGTCACAATGTTGCCTGTAGTCCAGGTCGCTACTGTCACTGAGGGAAAACACAATGCAGTGGTCCGCTACCTGAGAAGAGTTACTGATATGAACCTGTTAAAGAAAAAAATAATAATAGTCATATGACCGCTCACCACATGAGATACTCCATAGCTCAGTGGTTAGAGCATCCGACCGGTGTACGGAAGATCATGGGTTCAAATCCCGTCGGGAACTCAGATTTTTTTCTTTGTCCCACGCTCGTGACAAATGAACTGAATACAGTTACTTACAACAGTCATCATAGTTCTCAGTAAAATAATATGGCGGCTTTGTTCCCCCTAACTTGGTTGACAACAATACCAATATCTTTAGACTAGAAAAACGTCTTCGATACCATATACCTTATTCTCACTAATTTTCGCGCGTACTTAATTTCGCGAAATCGACAGATCCGCATTTCGCGAGGCTTTATTTTCACGATTTCTGAGAAAAAAGGGCTCAAAGACTTTAGAATTTTACGAAAATATCGTCTTTATTTTCGCGTTTTTTGCTACATCGCAAAAATCGCGAAAATAATTGAGAAATAAGTGGGAATAAGGTATGTTATTGTAAAGGTTTTAAGGGGGCGTGTCTGTGTCGGTAGAATAACGAACAGTTCGAGATGAATTTTAGGGATTTTCTATTTTGAAAAATGTTATTAGCTACAACAGTCCCTTTATCCCCCCAATTAGATTATATTATACTGTATTATGTTTTATATAGCCCAGCAAACAGGGATAATCAGTACCACGTAAGCCATGAAAATGACAAAAAGGGCAGGGTATATAAATATCGACCTGGCAGATAAAGAAATAATATCACTACCTTGAAGTCTCCTTTAAGGTATAACTTGGCCGCCTTGAGAGCTTCAATAATTCTCTTTTCCCACTCCTTGCCAGAGCCATATTCACTTATCTGATGCACCGTCATAACTAGATCGTCAAACGCTCGCGCACCCTCTGCAGCAAAATAATCCAAGCCCTGAAGTGACTTCCTCACAGAGGCACTGCATTCTGAGAGTACACGCAACATTGTTCTCTCGCTGAATGGCTTAAAGCTGGTCTCCAGGCAGTATTGCGTGTACTGTCGTACGATCCTCTGGGGTATCATTAGCCGTATCACGTTCGGTACATCAATTACTTCACCTGATGACAGCTTTAGATGCTTTTGACCAAAGGGGAGATCTTGCACCAAATGCGGGCTTGTGATAAAACTGAGAAAATGATCGAGTTGTTTGGGATCAACTCTAATACGCAAGGTTGACGGTTTTGGTAGCTGCGCTCCCGTCCAAACTGCAATCGATGCAAGTTGGCTATAGTGTAGCGATACTTTGTTAACCCAGGGATGTACTGCGAAAGCGTGTTGAAGCTCGCCACACCAGACATGATGGACAGCACTTGTCTGCGAGTATCCCAGCTAAATGCATTATTATAAGCTTCGGCTAGGGCTTCCACATACAACCTTTCTGACTGAGGCAGCTCATCTATATCTAGAGCCTGATTCATGGCGGAAGAGGAGATTAGACTTTGCCACAGATCGCCAGCATTCAACGGAGAAATGGTCTTGATAACAGCTGTTACTATCTCCGTGACTTTCTTGGTGTAGCGTTGTCTTGTTATTTCACTCGAATCGTGCCAGTTAAGCCATGATTTACCTAGTGGTTCAATATTGCATGCCACTAGAAAATCGTTCAATTTCCCACGTGGTTCGTTTACTGCAGTAGCAGACTCCTCAGTTGATGCCGTGCTCGCTGTGTCTGGGGATAGGAAGGTTTCGTCACAATCAGCGGCGATCTGAAGTTGATCAAATGTTTCGGCAAGTTCAACTACCGAGTGATCACTATCACTTTCCTCGGGAGAGCGAGTTCTCTTGTCATCCTGTAAAATAATTAATCAAGTATTAAAACCGTTATCAATCGGTAATTTATGTGAATTTTGTGACTTTCATGAAACCAAAGGAGATATAATTTGTGGTACTACAGTATACTCTCAGTCTGTATAATTAACAATAATTAGCCTGCGAGCTCGAGGTTTCTATCGGCTTTTGAATCGATTGAGACCAAGAGCGAGTAGTCTAATAGTTTTAGAGCACAACCCAGGGGCTGATCTATTAAACACAGAATATTGATAAAACTGATTTATTGATGGTTTTGTTTAATACGTTTTGGCCATAAATCATGAAAAAACGCGCGTTTGATGACTGAATATGAGCTGAGTCCATCACTCGTCTTTAATATATATAATGCATTGCGAGTATGTGTTTATCTGGATGCGGGGTGTTGTTTTTGTGACATCACTGACTAACAGTCGTGTTCAATGAAATCGATACTCACTTCTGGAGAAGCAGTTTCTTTGCTTGGCTCGACAACTATTTCAGGCACAACTAACGCTGTTGTTGTTTGCTGTTCTTGGCTGGTCTTGATGATGTAGGTTTTGCATAGACTGCATATAGCTATTATAAGAAAAAGAGGAAGAGATTGTTTTATAATTCATGCAGTCGCCAGTCAAGCTTTCTCAAGGGATAACAGCATACAGGCACAGAAAGACAGGGGATGAAATTCCTTACGTCTAGTCCTTGTATGGCACAATACAACATGTTGTCATTATTATGAGCTAGAAAGGAAAATACTTACGTGATCCAACTTGAATAAGCTTTCCTGTAGTTTTCAATACGTAGGCAGATTGCCTGCTGTCTACTCGTCGGTCACCCTTGGCAGTGGCTGTTTTATGTGCGGCTATTTCTTCAGGCACAGTGCATCTTACTTTGCGACACCTCCAACGAATTCCAAATTCCGCTCGGTGTCGAGGGCAAATTGTCAGTGACTGAGTCTCTTGAATAGAAAAAATCCTGGAGCCAAAAACTCGTAAATTAGTTGCAAGCATTTTTTTAGAACACGTGTCCTTTTCGGAATGGACTCTTTTCACGTTGCTAGATGTTTCGCAGCAACGATCGCATATAGATTGTAAGCAGTCCCTTTTTTAGACACTAACCGTTGCGCGAGTGTCTTGCGCCCACGCGTTCGCACGGCTATTTGGAAAAGGGACTACAATCCTGCTATAGTTTGCTGATTAGTTAAGTTACTTCCTATCCAAACACTCAGCTTAAGATGCTTCTATATTACCAATAGAATGCGAACGATCAGTCTTTGTGTGTAAAACGCCTGGCCTCCCTCCGGATAGTTTCTTTCTCGCTCGTTTTTCGTTTCTCTCTCAGTGATCAAGGAGAATAAATGAAGCCGTTCACATGTGAAAGAACAGACGGGGGGGGGGGGGCTTTTTGGTCCGAAAAAAGTATGTATGATATGGAATTGGGCATGGTTGCAAGAACAAACTAGATTTTGCATTTAACATAATGAGCACGTTTGGTTTGGGGCCCGCCATACGCGAGGAGCGAAAGCCATGAGAATCACGCGCGAGCCGGAAAATTCCGCGTGAATCAAGGAAATAGGAGACGTCTGCACGCAGGCTACTCAAAGGCTATAATTAACATTGGGATTTTGAAGCCCTTCTCAAATGTTAACTCAAACAAGGCCTTTCCCGTGAAGCTGAGATCATGCATCACGGATCGACACATGGAGGGTCTTTAAAAGAAGCGGAGGCCGCCCACCCCCACCAAAAATTTCGGGGCGGGAGTACTCCCCCTGGGTCTGCGTTCGCAGGCAAACCTAAATATTTTTAGCGTCAAAAATCCACAACAGATTGTACGATTGTCCCTCATTGAGCAAACAAGATTAAGCCGTAATAAAATACATTACAAGATTAAAGGCATAATGTGATAAAGGTTACCTGCTCGAGCTAGCAACAGCTTAAGTTCACTGTCAATGGCTTCATCAGAGCTGATTCCGTGTAATTGAAGATGTCTCGAGACATCTCTTGTACAATCTTTGAGTGAAACCACTTCAACATGTCCTTGATACTCGCTACTTATTCCACAGGGAGTACACTCATCCACAAGCGCTGAAAAACTACACGATGCAGCCATTTTATCTTACATACTGCATAACTGAAATAGCTTGACAGGCATTAATTCTCCAGACTCCAAAGGGTGGAATATCTGAATATGAGCCATGTGAAATTCAAACACTATATTTATAGTTGTAATTTGATCGCTAGCGGCGCTTCCTATTGTGTCTATTGTAACCCGGAGTGTCACGGCAGGAAAGTCACGTATATGAAGGTCATTCCTTGAACTTTAAATACCGCATTGATAAAATAAAATCTTGATCTGTAATAGCTGAGATAATTATGTCTTCGTAATATGTAAATGGTCAAACAGGAGATGTTTGACATGTTTCTCTTTTACCTGCTTTGAGAATGTGTTCTGTCTGTGTTTGGGGTAGTTTAGTATAAATCGCGACTTTTGTAACTGGCGGGTGAACGGTATCGATTTGGTTCGCGTACTCTTCTAATTCTGTAGTTTATAAACTTGAGCACCAGTTATGCCAGACCCGCTGACAGATGCATAAAGGCTATATTTTAATTTTACAGATCCAGAGCAGAGTTACAGGTAGTACCGACTCGTTATTTCACATTTATTATTTTTTTTAGAAAATATATTTCTAGAAAGCGTGACATTCTAATCGCTAACATGGTATGACGGTATATTTTACTGACGGGATAATACTTAATTTCCAACGTCTAAATTTTTCAGGTGATAAATTTAATAAACAAGGTTTACTCTGATGTTATTTTAATTTTAATTTGTTATGTACCAGAAGTCATTTGTGCCGCTCAAACTTAGCCTTCATTTTGCCCCTCGCAAAACCATTCAAAATACACCTGTATAAAAAGGTCAATAAAAACGATTTCAAGTACAATTTCGAAAACCTTTTTATGTGGATATATTGTGCAGTGATATTCTAATACGTGTGCAAAGTTTGACGTCCATTGGGAATGTTTTACGCTTTCACCATCTTCCTAAAGTTGCGTGATGATTCGGCCGTTTTGCAAGGCGAAAACAGCTAATTAGCATAATTTTCAAACTTTTCTAAAATTCGGCTGAAAAAAAAAATCGCTGGAACTTTTTATATTTTTCCCTAAACTAGTTCACCCAAAGGGATGTTTTAGCGAAATAAAAAAAAATTCGAATTTTCGCCACTGATTTTCGATTCTTGATAATTACA